GGGTATCACGCGAACGTGAAGGCTTGTGGCCACTACGTCTCGCGAACACGACAGACCCTTCGCAAACGCGAAGAAGGTCTGCCCAGCGATTTAAAACAGAGGCAGAACGGGATTTAAGCCATAATTTCATATCTCCTTCCCCAAAATCAGACTTTAGGCGATTTTTGAAGAGCAAATTCAACACCAAACTATAGGTATGTATTCTTAGACTCATTTCATTCATTTTTCATCTACACCCATTAGATTTCTAGGCCTAAATCTTGTTCTTCCATGGTAGAATTAGGGATTTTGGGTAGAGTTAGGGTTTTTTAAATAATTGGAATTTAGACCTCATTTTGGGGATCGGATTTCGAAACTAATTGCATATTCGAGCTCGTGGGTGAATGGGTGATCGGGTTTTGGTCCGAACCTCGAGTTTTGACCAAGCGGGTCCGGGGTCAATTTTTGACTTTTTGGGGAAAATGATAGAAAACCTATAATTAAGCATTGGGTATGAATTCTTTAGCCTTTATTGATGTTGATAAGTTAATATTGACTAGATACAATTAAATTGGAAGTGGGATCAAAAGGAAAAGCGGTGTTTGAGGCTTGAGTTGGCCGTGGAAGTTCGAGGTAAGTGTTTGGTCTAACCTCAGCTTAAGGGGATATGTATTGTGCCTTATTTGCTATGTGCTAGTGTAGTGTATAACGTATAGGTGTAGTGACGAGTATCTATACGTTGGTGTCAAACATGCCCGTGAGTCTTAAATTGTGATCGTTGTGTTTCTTAATAAGTACTACAAATGCCTAAATTGTTGATTATCCATGTTAAGAAAAACTTTTGATTATCTTCTTGGTATTTGTTTATTATTGAGCATTGGCTCCAGTTGAGGTTCATTTGTGAAGTTAATTGTTGGTACAAGTTTGGTTATAGCTGATTCCCTTGCCAGGACGTATTTAATTCTTATTGTTGATTCCCTTGCCGGGATGTATTTATTGTTGTTGTTGATTCCTTGCCAGCATGTTGTTGTTGCTATTATTTGGGTGAGGAAAGAGAGCTAAAGCACGAAGGGTGATGCCGTGCGCATTCATACTTATGCATATGGTGAGGAAAGAGTGATAAAGCACGAAGGGTGATGCCATGTACATTTACATTGATATTGATGCATATGGTGAGGAAGAGAGATAAAGCACGAAGGGTGATGCCGTGCATATTTCTAATATTTACATGGTGTGGAAGAGAGATAAAGCACGAAGGGTTATACCGTGAACATTTTCATTATTTGATTGCATTGGTGAGGATTGAGAGTAAAAGCACGAAGGGTGATGGCGTGCACTTATTGCCTGTTTACTATGATTTCTTGTTGTTATCGGGTCAAGTGCCTTAATTGTCTTATTCCACTATTACTGTGATTCTTTATGTTGGTATTTTCCCCATAGCATGTTACCCCTCCCCAGTTACTTTTGAATTACTTCTATTACTATTATTCTGCTAGATACTGTCTAACTGCAGGTTATTTGTTGTTGTGTCCTAGCCTCGTCACTTTTTCGCCGAGGTTAGGCTCGACACTTACTCAGTACATGGGGTCGGTCGTACTGATTCTACACTCTGCACTCTTTTGTGCAGATCCCGGTACTGGAGCATAAGGACCTTAGCTAGGGGTTGCTGCCTTCAGTCCATCGGAGAGTAGTCCTGCAGGCGTCCGCAGGCCTTGGGGTCCCCTTCCTATCTAGTTTCTTTCTGTTCTTTCTTATTTCAGAGACGGACATGTACTTTCTTGTTCAGACCCTATTTGTAGTATTCTTAGATAGTCCGTGAGATTGTGACACCAGTTCTTGGTGGTTTATGTTTATGCATTCGTATTGGTATTAGCTAAATTGTTAAATTTCGTTCTTCCGCATTATTATTTCCGCTGTTTATTATATGCTAACTTGACGTTGTTAAGAGAGTAAAAATGAAAAGGGTAAATTAACCGGAATAGTTGGCTTGCCTAGCTTTCTCTAGTAGGCGCCATCACGACTCCCGAGGGTGGGAAATCCGGGTCGTGACAGTCAAACACTACTAGAAAACTGTCAAAAAGAGTCTAGAAAAACCGAACGAAATCGGTCGGAATCCAGTAAAAATCGATCGATTTCCGCCGACTTTAATTCGTCCAAAAAATAATGGTCGCTAAGGTTTTGGCGACCACAGATGGTCGATATTTTCGACCGAATTCGGCCGGTATATTCAACTCACCTTTGACCAAATAATCTAACAAAAATTAAATATACCGATCAAATTCGGTCGGTATTGTAGAAAATAATTTTTAATTATTTTTTAGATTAGCGACCGATATCAGTCGGAATCTTAAGTATTCTTTTTTTAGATTTGTACATTTCCGACCAAAATCGATCGATATTATTAAAATATTTTAAATTTAAAATAAAAAATTCCGACTGATTTCAGTGGGTAATTTCAAAACCTGAAATAAATTCTTCATGATATCGACCGAAATTGGTCGGTAATTTAAAATATTTGGGAATTTTATTTTAACATTTCCGACCGACTTCGGTTGGTATGCGGTCGGTTTTCTGGGTAAAATTTTGGCGGAATACAACTGTTTTACAGCTGCACCACCTGCCAACAACCAATATCTATAATGGCAGCATTACATTGCTGTCATTCAACCAATAACAACAACAATAACAACTATTAAAACTATATTAGCATTAATTTGTTTACATATGTTGTTGTTGCTACAACTTAAGTATTAATATAGCGCTACATCTTATAGAACTATACATTTTATTTTTAAATGTGTTATAGTAAGTTTTAATCGAATATAATTGAATTTCCGATTGATCCACTGATGAAGTATCCGAGCAAAGTACTAATAAGATGATCAAGAATAATATATTTAAGACTTTGTGTGTGTGTGTGTGTGTGTGTGTTAAATATATGTAGATATTGTAAATAACAAATAATTTAACAATAATACCGACCGAAATCGGTAGATAAATTAATAATAATTATATAAAATATATTTTTGTTATGAAAAAACCAGTTGACCATAGATAGTAAAAAATAAATTAAAATTTCCGACCGATTTTCGGTTGGTATACTTGATTTTTTTAAACTAAACTTATTCTGGTAGATAATATGCAAGTATGACCAGGTTTTGGTCAAAGATTGACCAATTTACGACAGACTTCGGTCGGAATTTTTATATGTATCATACGTAGCAGTGTTTATTTGTTGTAGGATCACTTTTTCCGATCGATGGTGGTCGGTATCTTTGTGTGAAATTTTTTCTTTGACTTTTGCAACCAATTGACCTATTTTTTGACCGATTTTGGTCGGTTTTTCTTTCGACCGATTTTGGTCGGTATGCTGTGGACGATTTTTGACAGTTTTCTAGTAATGAAATCATTTCACGGGTGTGGTGAAATAAAAAACTACGAAGAGGAATTCACATGGATTTAGGAAGGGCCTGCTGTATTTGTGTACAAGCTAAAGTATTTTCAGAAACAAATACCTTTAGTCACTTTCTTGTCAAATTATAAACTTTTCCTTCATATACTTTACTTACCTCGACCTAGCAAAGCACAAAAAAAAAAGAGTTATTTTTCTGTATTCAACCAAGAAAAACCCCTCCACCTATATTCGAATACTATATATTCGAATAGAATGCAATTTCGATGAGAACTAAATATATTGAACTCTTAGCCTTTGTACCAAGGTCTTAAAATCGCTTAGTTAAAATAAAATTAAAATTTGAAATCAATGTGAAATCAGTAGATCTATACTCTAGCTTGTGATATCATGTCCACTAATATATATTTGTAAGAAAGAGAGATCAGAGTTGCACTTGAAGTCTAATAAGCATAATTTGCTGAAGATGGGATATCGTAAAAAAAACATATTTCTCCGCTCTCAGAATATAAACCAAGGAGGTAATTACACTAATAGAAATTCGAAAAAAACCGATCAACTTTGATCGGAAAAAAAACAGGCCAAAAATTGATCAAAGTTGGTCGGTTTTTCAAAATATTTTAATTTTTAATTTTTTTTTTTACGAAACCGACCAACTTTGGTCGGTTTTCTTTGGCGCAAAAATGCGGGAAACTATTTTAGAGTCCCGGGAAATTTATTTTTCAAGAAACCGACCAACTTTGGTTGGTTTTTGCAATTAAAATAAATAAAAATTAATATTAAAAAAGTCGACCAACTTTGGTCAGTAATTTTATTTTTTAATAAAACTTGGTCGGTTATTTTCGTACGAAAATACAATTAAAGAGTATAAATAAATAAAAAAGACAATCTTAAAACAAAATGCACCAATGGTCTAGTGGTATAATAGTATCCTGCCACAGTACACACCCCGATTCGATTCTCAGACGGTGAATCTTTTGATTACATAATTAAAATACCGACCAACTTTGGTCGGTTCTTTTTTTTTTTTTTTTTTGCAATATTTTTTTTTGAATTTAATTTACCGACCAACGTTGGTATGTAATTTCCGACCAATTTTGGTCGTCTTTTGATTACATAATCAAAATACCGACCAACTTTGGTCGGTTTTTTTTTTTTTGCAATTTTTTTTTTGAATTTAATTGACCGACCAACGTTGGTCGGTAATTTCCGACCAACTTTGGTCGGTATAGTAAAGCGACCACCAAAATAGCGTCCAAGCGTATTTGGTCGGTAATTGGCCATAACCGAGCAAAGTTGATCGATTTTCTTAATCGCTAATTACCGAATTTCTAGTAGTGTAAGATTCTACTTAACTAGTTTTGCCTCCGGTTGCATGGTTTAAATACACAGGTTATCAAACTTATAGTTTAATTGCAGGAAAATTATCAAACTAATTTTTCTGATATATAAGTAATACTCCTATTTACATTAATCATTCGTCACTGCTATATCGTGTAATATACCGAAAAAGAAAAAAGAAAAAAGAAAAAGATAGTAGAACGAGGCGATCTTTCCCCAAAAAAAGTTGTACAATAAAAAGAGAGTACTAATTAGATACTAATCCTACTTAATTAAGAGATCGTAGAAAGAAAATGCTTAGCTCTTGACCTATATTTTCTTCTGGATCAATCAAATGAAAGGATTCAGAATCATGAGATCCGTTAACCCTTTCAAATTTTCCTCTAAGATACATAATATCATCATCCTCTCTCTTTATAATAGTGCCAGCTCCAACATTTTTTAACTCCAATTTTCTCAACACTTCTAAATCAGCTTTTGTAGGTTTTCTTTTAACTGCAAACCCTACTCTCTTTCCATTACAATACATAGTCCATATTGGCATAGACAAAAGAGAAGTCGGAGAAGAAGAAGAAGAGTACTCGTATATCATATTCGTACTACTCTCTAACGCGATTCTCACTATTCCCTTTCGCATTTCTCTAGCGAGTGTGGTTGTAGAAACTGCAAGTTCAAGAAGAAGAATAGGGTTTGTAGATTTAGGGTTTGTTTGGATACAAAAACTAACTTTTCCTTTACGAGAGCCGAATATTGTGCCCGTTATTGTTGTTGTTATTGTTGTTGAGTGGTGCTTGAAATAGGGTATGGGTTTTTTCTCGTAATTTTCTTCTTCAATAAAGATACAATTGCAACGAGGAATCAGAAGTTCCATGAGCGAACGAAGATACCGCCATGAACGCACTTGTTTTTGGCAGTCCACAGAGGTGATTGGGGAGCTGATCATGTTGTTGATGATATAAAATAATAAGAGGCTCGTGGAGTTTGTTTATTTGGCAGATGGTTGAAGGTTTATATAAAGAATTTTGAGATGATTAATTAACGGAAATTAAGTGAATTAAGCTAAGTTCAGTTTATGTTCTATGTGTTGGGCTAAAATGGCGAAAATATACTCTTAACATAGTGTGATATCAATTATCGGGAAAATGATACTGTATAGCCGCTCAAAATAATAGCAGAAATATATATTTTTTGTCTATATACATTCTGTATGTTATATATAAAAAATATATAAATCTTATACACTTTTTCAGCTACCAAATGTAAATAGTTTCTGACACGAGCTAAAAGTGAAAAAAGCCCAATATTATCTGCATTAGGCCTAGCTCGCACGGTTTTTTCCAAAAGTTCTTACATCATTATTAAGAGTATCCAACTTCTTATAAGTAGCTTAGTTTTCTTTTCTACTTTGCATACTGGACTTTGTTCACACACACCCAACAATCTCAATCACCCCCTTGAACTAAGTTCCACAAGATATATCACTATTCATGGGCTAATTTGGAGATTAATTATGTGCAACCCACATGATTTGAGAATTTATGATCACCGAAACCAAAAGAGAGGTTGTGTATACGTCTTTGAAGCTACAGGTAAAGGTAGTAAACCCACCAATAGACATGCAAAGACACTAAGTCGGCCCTATCCGATCACTCCGCCGTCCTCTATACACACTAAGTCGGCCCTATGCCATCACTCCGCCGTTCTCCATACTCGTCTCACCAAACCATTTGCTTCTAACATCAGTTATTGGGCTAAAATGGGCCAAAGATACTCTTTATATGGTCTGATATTATTCGCTTTGGGCCAAAGCCAACATGATATTCCCCAAAAAGTCTCACACCATTAAGAGTATCTAACTCCTTATAAGTATATAATATATATTTTTTTTTACTTTCATCTGAGACTTTATTCAGACACACCCGATACTATGCACAAATAATATTAATATTTACACAACCATATTACTTAAAATATAATTGCATTTTAACTCTAATTAATAGTATTAGTTAGTTACTTTTAATAAATGGTCAGTAATATATTACAACACATTAACATCGGTAATATACAAAGATTATTATATTAGGAACGTATATAACTTAAATCCTAGCAAGAAGTCACGAAACCCTTGAAATAATATTTTTCATTAAGAGAAGTTTATAAACAAAATTAAGAAATGTTAAGCAGGGACCATGGAATCTAAGGATTATAATGTGACCATTATTATTCTTACCTTTTCCCTTTGGCTGAATGAAAATACAGGTGATGAATTGCAACTGTCCTTGTCCTTTTCTGTCATCTTCGTACATCATGAAAACGTCCAAAAACCAAATAATTTCCCAAACATGTTTTGATCTCCTGCAGAAAATGATATTTGGACACATGAAAAAGGAGACGCCTTTTCTTGGCCAGCTCAAGAAAATAAAGGAATTAATCTCTTTTTGGAAATTAATGTGATGTCTATATCCCACTCTTAACGGTGCGATACTTCTCTGAATCTTACGTGAATGTGAGATGTGTGTTCATCGGGTTGCCCTTTAATATCTATTTTAGGAAAGAAGAAATAGCACTTTAGAAGCTTCAGTGAGCTAGAATTTCACCGATCTAATTCAAGTAAAAGAAATTATTTTCTCTTCACCGTGACGCTTGGCCTTATGTCTAACGAGAGTTCTATAATAACCCTTCAAAATCTAGAGTCTAGACGATTGTGCAAAGTTGGCGGAACTGGATTAAACCTATATATTGAGTTCAATAAAATTTCGTACTGTATCTAGCTCGGACTATACATATATTTGTTATAAAAACTGTATTGCTGTAAAATTAATAAAACAATAGACTTTCTGAAAAACAGAAACAGAAAGTTAGTAGAACTAGAACGTCAAAATAAATTTTGAAAAACAGTATAGTAACTTCAAAATAAATTCTGGAAAAAGTATAGGAATAAATCGAGCCCACTGAATACATAGTGTGTCCTTAAGGAAATTATTCCCCTCAAGTACCCGAGGTTGTGGAATATATCCTCCCAGGATAGAACAATATAACTCACCGGAGTGTTGGTACCAAAAACGCAGATGAACAGCGAACCACTCGAAGGCTGTAAATCACACTGGAATTTTTTGTGCAGAAGAAGAAGAAGAAGATAATCAGAAAATTTCGTATGTAAATATTCTGGGATTTGAAGGAATATTTATAGCCAATTTGGTACTGTTTCTGAAAAGGTTTGCAACCTTTCAGAACAGCCATAGCTGTCGGAACAGGTTTGACACTGTTTCAGAACAGCCATAGCTGTTGGAAATATTGCGGGAAAATTAAAACGGATTTAAAATAATCCGGGAAAGAAAACGGGCCGGACCGGACCAGGTCATGGGTTATTCCGGATTGAATTTTCGTTAATTAATTAAATTAATTAATTAAATATTTGAAAAGAATTTTGTCCAAAAAGATTAATCAATCAATCTTTGACCAAATCTGAAGCCGAAGCCGAGTCGAGCGACGACGACGACGCGAGGCTTGCCTTCTTCTTAGCTCTTTAAGAGCTAAAAGATGAGCTTCTCTATATACACACAAAGATTTTCTTTCCTTCTACCAATGAGGGACAAAGTGCATTAGTAAAGTGAACTAATACAGAATTTCACTTCCCTCCATTTTTTTCCCACCATTTTCCATTCACACCTCTTTAGTTATAAATAACAAATAATAACAAAAATCCAACAATCCCCCACATGAATGGGGAATGGCTATAAACTTAAAGGAATGCACGGACGTGTGTGTGTTTTACATGCAAAAATTAATTGCATCTGGATAAGAAGGTTTCCCTTTGAACTTTCCGTAGTGAACTTATATAGGATATACTCGGTCAATCGGTAGATTTGATATCTTTGAACCGCCGAGCTTTTTTGTATACCTAGACAACATAAGTCACACAATCAATCCTTAACCATCTATGGTTCTCACGGTTGTGTTCGTTTCAGCCATGAACACCGCCTGGTTTTATGAGTGCTTAGAGAATGGGCCTTTACTTTCATTCCCCTTGAAGCGGCTTACACTTCACACTCACATAGGTGATTCCTAAATGTGTAACCCTAAAGACACACTATCTGGTCATATCCTGCCAGACTTAGCAAATCATTAAAAAGCTTTAAGCTTTATTGACTCATCAAAAAGCCTTAATGCTTTACCTCGTTTTTTAACATTGTCTTCATCACGAGACTGGGTTGAGTTATTTGACAATGTTGAACCGTCATTCATAACTTTGTTTGATCTCTTTGAACCTAGCTCTTGGGATCTCCAGTCTGCTAGGTAGAGTTACCGCCATGATGACTTGTCCTAGGCCTTTAACCCCATTCCCTTTGATGATCTTTCAACTGCCTCTCTAGATAGGCCTTTTGTAAGTGGACCCGACACGTTATATCTTGACTTAACGTAGTCAATTGTGATAATACCACTAGAGAGTAGTTGTCTAACGGTATTGTATCTCCGTCTAATATGACGAGACTACCTATTGCCACTTGACTATCACAATATATACAAATAGGTGCCAAAGGTTTGGGCCAAAATGGAATATCTTCCAATAAATCCCGGCGCCATTCAGCTTCTTCACCGACCTTATCTAAAGCAATGAATTCAGATTCCATTGTAGAACGGGCGATGCACGTCTGTTTGGATGATTTCCAAGACACTGCTCCACCCCAAATTGTGAAAACATATCCACTCGTGGATTTAACTTCAGATGATCCGGTGATTCAATTTGCATCACTATATCCCTCGATCACGGAAGGATATTTGTTATAATGCAAAGCATATGTTTCTGATATCCCAAAACTCGTTTCATTGCCATCCAATGTATTTGATTGGGATTACTTGTAAACTGACTCAGTTTGCGAATAGCACATGCTATATCTGGTCGCGTACAATTCATGATATACATCAAACTTCCCAATACTCTTGCATAGTCCAGTTGTGAGTCACTTTCACCTTCATTCTTTTGAAGTGCATAACTCACGTCAATTGGAGTCTTGGCAATTTTGAAATCCAAATACTTGAACTTGTCAAGTACCTTTTCAATGTAGTGAGACTGTGATAATGCTAGACCATGTGGAGTCTTGTGAATTCTGATTCCTAAGATCACATCAACAACTCCTAAGTCTTTCATGTTGAATTTGCTAGCCAACATGCGTTTTGTAGCATTTATATCTGTCATACTTTTGCTCATTATCAATATGTCATCAACATATAAACAAACAATGACTTCATGACCTGGAGTGTTTTTAATGTAAACACATTTGTCACACTCGTTGATTTTAAATCCATTTGCCAACATTGTTTGGTCAAATTTTGCATGACATTGTTTGGGTGCTTGTTTAAGTCCATAAAGTGACTTAACAAGTTTGCACACTTTCTTTTCTTTACCAGGAACCACAAAACCTTCAGGTTGTTCCATGTAAATCTCTTCCTCCAATTCTCCATTTAAGAAAGCTGTTTTAACATCCATTTGATGGATTTCAAGACCATACATAGCCGCTAGTGTCACTAACACCCTAATAGATGTTATCCTTGTTACTGGCGAGTAAGTGTCAAAGTAATCAAGGCCTTCTTTTTGTCTATAACCTTTGACAACAAGTCTTGCCTTATATTTGTCAATAGTGCCACCAGCTTTAATTTTCCGTTTAAAGATCCATTTCGAACCTAAAGGCTTATTTCCCGGAGGAAGATCAACCAATTCCCATGTATGGTTATCCAAAATTGATTGAATCTCACTATTGATTGTCTCTTTCCAAAACGCTTAATCAGAAGACGACATAGCTGCTTTAAAAGTTTGAGGCTCATTCTCAAGCAAATATGTCACAAAATCTGGTCCAAATGAAGTAGATGTTCTTTGACGTTTACTACGCCTTGGATCTTCTATACTCGGAGTATTTTCCTTTGGTTCTTCCCGAGGTCGTTTAG